TGGTGCCGGGCGGCGCCCCGGAAGTGACGCAAGCTGTGCGCCCCGGAAGCACGTGGTGGGAGGTGACACGTGGCGGCCGCGGCGTCCAGTGGGGCGGGGCCTGGAGTGACCCTCTGCGCTCGGGGCCCGGCCGGGGGCTTCCCCCGTCGGACCGGTCCAGGACGGGGAGCGGCTCCGGAGTCCCTCGACACCTCGGGGCAGGGGAGGCCTGCGCTGTGCTTGGGTAGAGCTGAGGGGATGGATCAGCCCGGGCGGTTTCATAGCGTCAGGGCTGGGCCCAGCCCCGGGAAGTCAGCTGGGGTCGCAGGATCCCAAGAGGTGAACATCCGGATGTCCCTTGCAGGTGCTTTGATGTGGTCCCTGCCCCGCCGTTGTGCCCCAGATCCCCCCGCGCCCGGGAGATGGGGCATCAGACAGAGGCCTGGCCGTGCAGCCCGTGGGCAGAGCCCAGCCCTTCCCTTGGTGCCTCCTTCCAGGCTCGGGCTCGTGCCCGCAGGGTCCGGCTGCGCCTGGTTCAAACCGCCTCGGACCCGTCTGACGAGGACGCGGAGACCCTCCGATGCGGCCGGCTTCGAGGGGATGGGCCAGGCCCGCCCCCACTGCTGCCCGGCTGGTGGGAGCGGGCGCGTCGGGGCTTGAACGCCCAGGGGAGTCGCGTCGGAGCGGTGCCAGGCTGCCTCCCCCCGCCCGGGAGCGTGGGGAAGGAGGCTGGACCCTGGCACTGGGTTGCCTGCCGCGCTCTGGTCTTTCTCAGAGCAGGATTGATCTCAGGGGCAGAATAAGAGAGCTGGCGAGAGCCTGGAGGGCAGCAAAGGGGGAGATGATTTTAATCTTTGTGTCTTACAGCAGGAGACGTGGCTGCGCTCGGCGCGGACCAGCACCAAGGCTCGCTGTGGAGCGTGGTGGCGGCACCAGGAGCAGGGCTCATGGGGTGCTGCTTGCCCATGCTGGGGCTCGTCCGTGGCTCGGGGGACAGAAGAGACTCTCACTTGAGCACCAGGAAATACGTGGTCCAGCCGGCCAGCAGCAGTGCCCCGATCAGCACCGTGTAGCTGAACAGCACGAAGGCCAGGAGCTCCTTCAGCACCTTGAGGAAGTGAACAGCAAAGGGCTCCTGCATGGTTCCTGCAGGCCGGGCTGGGCGTCTGCCGTGCCCTCTGCTTCCCCGCCGGCGCCTCCTGGTCTCTGCGGAAGAAGGGGCAGGGTGAGTGCCTGGGGAAGGGGCTGGATTTGGACTGGGACCTGGATGGACTTAGCAGCACCTCTGAGGTGTGGGGCTGGGGCAGGCAGCTCCTGGCATGCTTCCCCTGCCTCCATTGATCGGTGGCCAGGAAGCTTCATGTTTGGAGCATTCGCTGATGGCGCATTAGTACCAACAAATGCTCCGATCAAAGCAGTCGGGGCCTCCAGGGAAGATGCCATTAATATTTTATATGATAATTGCTTGTAATGGCCGCACAGGCATAAGCAGAGCCTTTTGTTTAGGATCAGGGGAAAATTTGGGTTTAAGTCAGAGTTTGTTCAGCTAAAAGCTTCATACCTCGCGTTAAAAATAACCCTTCCCTGTAAGGGGATGGGACCAAGATGTCCCGAGCTCACGTCCCATCCTGCTGTGACTATGCTAGGCTGGAGCTGCCACCTCCGCTAGTGAATCAGTGAACACATTTGCCAGAAGTTTTTCCTCTTGTAACATCCCCCGAAATCCCACCCTCGCCCCCCGCTGCAGGGTCGCTCAGCTTCCATCAGAACATTACAGATCAGAAATGCTGTCTGTCTTCGTCATGCGCACACACGGGAGACAAAAGCAGGGTCAGGATAAAGCTGCCCTGATAGGATTATTTCTCTCCCAGACAGTAAAAAGCCTGGGGAGCAAAAGGACTTTCCCTCCTGCCACCTAATTTTCAAAAGAGCTGTGGCTAGAGCCCGCTCCCCCTTTTTTTTTTCTCGTGAAATTTCTCCTTTGTTCTCTTAATACTCTTCTTAAGGGTCCCTCGTTGCGTCTGCCTGTATTGGGTATAAGACATTGCAGAGTAGACCCTTTCTCTAGATCCTGAGGATTTCTGTGCACGGAGATTATTTCTCAGTGTTTTCTTTGAGCTTTGTTTTAGAACAAAACATATGCTGATGGGGAGAGAAATCTCTGCTTACCCAGAGAGATGGTTGAATCCACCGCTGAAAGTTTGTTCTCCTCCGCTGCTGTTGCTGTGTGCTCTCCCCTCAGTGTCTGGCTTCTGAGAGGTTTGTGATGTATTTTGATCCCTTCTGATCTGCTAATCCAGAGAGCAGGAGGAGTGAGGTTGCATTTACAGGCTGCCCAAGGATGCTAATGGACTAGGTGTGGTCAGGAACCGATTATTATCTATGACATAGACCCTTTGCTTTCTCTGTGCTGATGGCACAATGGGGCAGAACCAGCCAAACACCAGTGTTGCCACGAAGCCTCGGGAGGTTTGGTGAGCTGCAGCCCCTGTTTGAGAGCGCCTGCCCCTTCCCTGCTGTGCTCTTCAGCACCCCCAGGATGCCCCG